CCCCCCCCCCCGACTTCCCCACCGACACATAGGATCGTCTCCATCCACAAAAGTGCTCAAGGGTCAGCGACGTCTTGTAGCATTTTCAGGAAAGCGAACAAGGTATACTATACAATCGTGAAAGATAGACACTTAGATTGACTGCACGTAAGACTCGATAGATCGTAGCGTACCTTAAGGATGGTCAAGGTCCTCGTCGGGAGGTCCGAAAAGCCCATAGTGCGACCACAACTTGGGCCCGACCTACTGAGCAAGCTCAGCAGATGAGGCGTAAAGGCAGCCACCGTCACCATAGTCTACGTGTGTCTCTCTAACAGAATGAACTACCCTCTTATGGCTACTCGAAGAAATATGCTTAGTCCAACCAAAGAAATAGGAAAAATAAGACAAGCACAATGGAAAGTGAACGAGAACAGAAAAGAAAACAAAATGAACGTAGCAAAGTCAGGAATACGAGTATAGGACTAAATAAGAAATAAATACAGAAAAAAAGGATACAAATGAATAAAACGGGATCGTCCTAGAGACCGGTATAGGGGACCGGCTCGTCAGGGAATCAGCTTTCTAAGCCTAAGTGCTCTCGAAAGTGACCCCCGGCCCCCCACTCCGTGGGTTCTGCGCAGCAAGTCTGCGCTCTGCAAATTTTATAATTTCCAGCACTTCTGTTACCCACCGTGGTGCCTGCTTTTTAAGTGTAATGTATACAGTTATTAACATAAATCATCATTCGGGCCACTACCAACTTATAAACTTTTATCTGCTCTCTAATATGGCTACCAATGATATCATCTAATGGCCAGAAGCTAAAAAGTACTACATTACTGAAATAAAACCCACAAAAAAATACTTACGTGTAAAAAACTATGCCAAGTACAGGAGTGTCGTGAATTCCTCTAACAAAAAGTATTGAAATCATATTATTAATGCCAAATACATGTCACTAATTATCTGCTTATTACTTGTATGTGAATTAGCACCAGCCCATCATTTTAATTGTATTTTCAAAATATCCTATAACGTCTACGCTACTCTTTTATATTGCTACTGCTTTTCATACTTAATTATTATTTAACGGTCATTTAATAATTAACAAAACTTTAGGTGATTTCTTATCGAGTACTACTTGGGGGTTTCGTGCATTACTTGATATAAATTTGCGTTCGTGATGCCGGGCTTTAAACTCAAAACCAACGTTAACTTTCTATATAGAGCATTTTTACAATAACTCGTCAAAAATAATCACGGTAAAAGCCTAATAACAAATATATAATCTTAAGCTCGTATTCAGAATTCACTCTTAAAGTTACTAACAGAGTCGCTTTTAGTTAAAAGTCACTGACAAATGACAAAAGCACGCTATTAGCACTAAAAGCGAATTCTGGATATGGGCTTCAGAATACTATTAATACGTTCAAAGTAAATATTTTGGAATTTCTCACATGAACCGGCCAAATAGTATTCGATAAGGAATCGTCCAACCTAACCTATACAACAAGTTTCCTGTACTTGGAGCGAGACTCGACCGAGTCTCTTGATCATGAGAGCGCTGGGTTCGCTCGACTAGGATTGTCAAATGCAATAGTCTCGTGTAATATCATGAACAGGGTCCTAGTAGTGGAGCAGGTAATGACAGTTAACTCTAGAACTGTAAGATGGCATCACCGGCGATGCCAGCTACAATTTAACTACTGTACAAAAGCGATGCCTTACCGTTGTCGGGTTAAGAAGGATACGAACAAGTAGGTATCGGTCTTGATTTTATTAATTATTGTTTTATTATTTATTTTTATAAGCACCATGATCCACACGGCTCTGTGGTTGGTAATCCTGTTGGTGCAGACGTGTCATGGGTTCACTGGACGGGGTCTCATGTATCCTGGCAGATCAGACTTGTTCGAACTCTCCATTATACACCTCAATGACTTTCATGCTAGGTAAGTCAAATAATTTTTGGACACCTGTTTGATCTTATCCCATCTCTTTGTTCTAGCCGTACTTGTCATTATTAATCACACAGACGATAATGAATTCTATAGAAAATAAAATTATATTTTAAATAATATATTTTTAAATTTCGATTATGCTTGAATGCCGTAAGAATATTTGTTTGTATCTCTTTATTAACTTTATTTGATCAATTGCATCATTTAAATTGTTTAAATTTTTCGTTACTGTTTATGTTAGGCGTAGAGGTTTTTTAAAAATATTTTCAAACTCTGCAATTTGTGTTTTTTTTCTTTAAAATAATGAATTTTTTTATAACAATTTTTAATATCCTGTCAATTATTCTTTGCATTCTCTCCAATCCAGTTTCTTCGTAAATTCCAGACTCTTTTTACAGCTTATGGCCATGTCACTTTAATTGATCGAACCGAATTACATACTACTACTTAAAGTAAATTACACTCAAGTTATTTATCGATTATTATATTGAGAGATTTCAGTGCTCATGACCCACTGGACCAATTTGCGGAAACATTCTGCGTCAGCGTTTCATGACACTTTCCATAGAGCGTGTCCAATGCCCATTTATTATTTAGTCATCTCAGGCAGATTTTTATGTATCGTTAATCGAACAACACGACTCAATTAATTGCAATACAGAGTAATTGGTCGATCGTCCAATCGAAAACCGGAGTCGTATTTTTATCGCGATTTCTCTGACCTGCATAAGTCGTCGAGGAGATAGAAAAAAAGATGTACCTAAAATTATTCCCGATTGTGTAATTAAGTGATTACCCATGGACATCACGATGATTGATTGACACTTAAAATAATATAGATTGACAATTAAAAATAATAGTGTAAAAATAATAATCATTGAATAATATAAGAACACCGTGAATTATGTTAATTCCTAAGGTCAATATTAAGACGTCAATTTTTGCATAACAGCAATTTTGTACTATTAATACAATTTTTCATTTAGTTTAAAGTAACGTACATATATGCAATTATAATGTGTGATCCCGGGAATTCCTCAGATTCGTGCAAACAGGTCCATCCTCAGGCACTTGTTACGAGGGTAACGAGGACGAATGCGTGGGTGGAATAGCCCGCGTCTACACGGCAACCCATCGGATGGTCAAAGAACGTCCAAACGCGATATTTCTAAACGCCGGGGACCATTTCCAGGGGACCTTATGGTACACTGTTCATAGATGGAACGTGACAGCGAAATTTATGAATATGCTGCCACATGACGTTATGGTAAATTAGTTAAGCAAAATTAATATATGTTGGAAATATCGATAACTTGTATTGTTATCGATTTCAATCTCACTGATCAACATCCAAGTCGTCCTCTTACACGTCACAATCGCCAATCCTAATTATTTTACCATATCGAATTAATGAATTAAAATGGAAAAAAAATTAATAATTCACTTACACAGTGTCATTAGTTAATATCATCCCTACGTTTGTGTTACGTCCCCTAGAGATGACGATTGAGGTTATGTGAATCTTTTTTTGGTATGTCAATTATAACAGCATAGCTGTCAAATATTTAAATGTTATACCCCGCGAAATTCAAATCATGCATTCCATATGAGTATGGTGGTTTATGAATTGTATATTTACGAGTATATATACACGTGCACGCACTTAGCATAATAATAAGTACGTTTACGACTTTATACTTGATATATACCCATCCAAGATATTTTGATGTCTATGACGCAAAGAGGTTATGAATATACCTTTTTAATGTTCTCTAATTTTCACAGAAACGATTCACGATTTTCCAATCGCGTATTTTGCATCGTTCTATGTAAAGTGGCTGTAACTTCACAACTGCCCGTGGGTGTCTGGTAGCTGTAATTTGCGAAAGGCCATGGCGAATGATTAAAGTAATTGAGTGCGGTATATCGACCAGATGATGATCAACGATCGACGAAGACCATTCGATCGATAAAGCAATCGATTCGCAGATCTTAACTCCTATCATGTGTCATCCCTTAAAGACATTGCAGGTTAGAGACAAGTTTTATTTTTAATGCAACCTTCATTTGTGATTCACAGACTATCGGTAATCACGAGTTCGACAACAAGATTGCTGGGGTAGTACCGTTTCTTAAAATGGTCACGTCACCCGTGGTCGTCACTAATATCGATGACAGAGAAGAACCCGACATACAGGTTCGTTAATGATACTGCGTGTATCATGAGTCACTATAAGTGACTGCAATTAGACTCGATAATTTGAGGACAATTATTGTAATAGCTTGACGATCGGCATTATTTCAGGGCTTGTACACTAACAGCACGATTATCGTTAGGAACGGCACGCAGATCGGAGTCATTGGAGTCATTTTGTCAACGACAGATGTCAGTACCGATTTTATAATTTTCCATTTTTTTTCCAAATTCACCGTTTTTCTTGAAAGTGCGAATAAGAGATTTTTCATTACAGAAAATTGCCAGTACGGGAAAGTTAAAATTTCTTGACGAAGTGGAAACCGTGAATGCAGAGGCTGAAAGATTGAAGGCACAAGGGGTAAAGATTATAATTGTCTTAAGTCATTGTGGTTTAGACGTGGATAGAGTAATGGCAACTCGATGTCCTAACGTGGACGTCATCGTGGGAGGACATTCGCATACGTTCCTTTACTCAGGTGGATATGTGTTAAATAATTAATTTTATAGTGTACTGTAATTATTTTTTTTTTCCTGGGATTTAATTCATGGAATTCTGGGTGTATTTTTTTTTTCCTGGGATTTAATTCATACTTTATTTAAAATTACGTTAGCGCCATTAATAATATTTCATAAACTTCGCGTACAAACTTATATCAGTCTATTTGAGGAAACCGGAGTATCTCGAAATGAACATGCCAAATTTAATAGGAGAGCCACCCCACACCGACACTGCCGAAGATGAGTATCCGGTAGTAGTGAGGCAAGATGGCACAGAGAGAACTGTCCTTATCGTTCAAGCGGCAGCTTTCACCAAGTAGGTATAAGATGCCTTAATTTTCTCTCGAAATCTGTACACGAAAGTAACGGAAATACAATCTGCCATTGGCGTTTCTTGCTTTAGATACTTGGGCAATCTGACTGTGTGGTTTGATGGAGCTGGCGAGGTATCTGATTGGGAGGGTAATCCAATTTTATTGGATTCATCGATAGAACAAGATCCAGATGTTTTGGCGGCATTAGTACCATGGCAGGTCGAGGTGGATGCTTTGGGAGATGCTAAAATTGGAGATCTTAAAGTATATCTTTATAACAATTGTCGTTACGGGGAATGCAACGTGGGTAATTTGATAACGGACGCTATGGTCGATGCTGTATGTATAATTGAAATTCTAAAAATATCCGAAGAGAGTATATATAACGGTTAACAAATATTTCGTATAATTAGTACGTGGATGCTGCTGAGAACAGTACCTATTGGACGTATGCGGCTATTTCTTGCACAAATGTGGGTGGCGTTCGTTCTTCAGTTCTTGAAACGAACGGCGTTATCACATATGCTGATGCCGTTACAGTACAACCTTTTGAAAATACCTGGGACGTAGCAGAATTACTTGGATCCGATCTTATTCTGGTAACTAAATATGCTATTGATATATAAAGTGTGCCCCGCGCAAGCCTTAATTTTTATACGGGTATGCAACTCGGGTTGCCTATGATTAGGCGTTTCTTCACGGTTTCAGTTAAAATCATATTTTCACATATGTACTGTAATTCCTGTAGGGAATTTATGAATATTTTGGAAAATTATATATTATTACTGATTGATAGGCTCTGGAAGATGGGGTTGCTACCAGTTACAGCAACACGTCATTCGTGGGTAAGGGCCTCTTAATTTGGTCAGGCATAAAGGTGACTTACAACCTATCTAACGAGGTGTATTCCAGAGTGGTTGATGTTAAAGTCAGGTGAGTGGAATAGCCATTCCGAAAAGGGTACCTCGAGTTCGTTAGTCATCTCGTACGTGACGACTATTAATCTTGAGTTTGCCTTTTAACTCCTCGCGGTCCTGTTTCAGGTGTCGTGCCTGCCAGATTCCAGAGTACCAGGATATTGTCGAGGACGAGTGGTACAGAATAGTCGTACCGTCATTCTTGATTCAAGGAGGTGACGATGCTTCAGTTATAGTTAATAATCATCGAAATCATGAAGTAGGGACATTGGATATTGATCATTTCGTTAATTATATTTCTAAAATTAGCCCAGTCACCTACGGTACCGACGGACGAATGATTATCACTGGAACGTGGTCCGTTTCGTGATTTTGAAACGAATTAATTTATCATCCGTTCAACAGCTATAGAATTTTTACACACATTTTCCCACGAAGACAACAAAATCTTTCGAAGATGGGTGTAGTTACATGAGTATTATAATATTTTAAAAATATTTTAATAATGCATTAGTCACGTAGTACGTTTTTATAGGATTATTATAATTGTAGTATTATTGTAGAAATTCGACAGGTAGGATTCAAATAGATTATTTTCCTGACAATGCTCCAACATTAAAAAATGGGCAAAGCTTTACTATAGTAAAGTATTTAAGCATATGCTATACTCTGTTAATGCATTTTCGTTGTGATGAAACGAATAAAAAAATAAAGATGGCACTGATTGTAAATGCAAATTACTTTGTTATCGATGATCGTTACGAATATATGTACTAATGATACGTGAGAAGTAACACGTACTTCAAATATACTTTGAAGAGAATTACAAAAGCAACAACGTAAAGCGGAAAGTATCCGATTGGTATAGCTTTTATCGCGCGGTATCTTGGGATCGGGGCAGGTGAAGCATTTAAATAATATATCGAACAGGTGAAATAGCAGCTGTGCCTTTTCGATGCTACAGTCAGGTATCCAGAATCATAACGCTCGTACTAAAGACATTTTAATTCAAATTTCAATGGATCACATGGCCGCCATATTATTCATTAACAATTCCAGCAGCTGTAAACCTTATTCTCTAATTGCAAAGTACCATTCCGCATCCGCAGAGGAGTAGCCATTAATCAGCCTGCGAAACGATAAAATGTATCTTCCGGAATTCTCATAACGTCCCTGTGTCGTTTACGAGCCATACTAAAGTTTCGAGTATCATTATCCAATCCTAATTACAATTCTACTTGCGTATGAATCACGACGAATTAATTAGTGAACCGCATCACTTGACAATTTCAATGAAAATAATCCCAGCCAGAATTTGTTGTCTCTGCAAACTTTTCAGGTATTTATCAATAAACATTTATTGCCCAGTATACGCAATTAATTATTTAAAAATCCAAAAAAATCGAATTTACCTATCCATTGATTTTTTGGTAATTATAAATTCTCCCGGGCTACAATATTTGAGCATGAGAAAAACGCGAGTATTTAAAATATTAGTGCCGCTCGCGGTACACACAGCTATAGACCGTCGTTCACTGAGTAGGGGATCAGCAAATAAAATCCAGCGAATGGGACAACGCGAGCTTAAATAACGTAGGGTGGAGTAGTAGGGGTCTGTAATACGAATGGAGGTGGCTTCTAGGTACGATATGAAGTGAAGGCAGCTGCGACTGGGAGTAGAAACGAGAGCCAGCACGGCCATCATGGAAAGGCAGGCCTGCCTTCTGCCGTTTCGTGGGCTTCCTGACGATCCTCTTCGGACGTCTTCGACAGTATTCCCGAAGGCGAGGAGCCCGATGGGTCGTCTTCGTTTATTCTGAACTCGTGTCACGCGCCTCGTGTCGTGTAGTGCTGCAAGTGTCACGAGTACCTAATATGTTTGTTCACTTTAGTTGAAACGTGTTCGATAATAAACTTTCTGGATTGTTTACCCGATATTAGGAAATTTAATTAACTGAATATAAATTCAAGCTTTCTTTTAGACACATTGACTTGACTCTTACGGTAGTTAACATTGTACAGCTTATATTACGAGATCAGCCATATTCTCTCAAGATCTCTCCGGCATCGCAAGTCGGAGTGACATTCCGCGGGATCGATTGGCTTGACGTCAAGCGGAAAATTACTCGGTTGCGTCGCTGCGCGTGAAGAGAGTATTCCCTGTCTTTCTTTCTTCTTCCTCCACTTTGTTGCTACCTCATTCTCGTACTCCCATCGTGAAAATGTGCTCGTGACGGATTCCGCGGGGACAATCCGCTCGTGAAACTTGTGTCATCGCGGACGTCGTGTTTTTGTGGCCGGGTTGGCGCTACACAACGAACTACTGTTAGTATATCTATAAGCACGCCAGCGTAAACTGGGAATATTGTGTTATTAATAAATAATAATTATTGAAGCGGGATTTTTTTTCGTGAGCTGTGCGCGGTGTCGTGTGGCGGTGATTGACTGAAGGGAATCATGAGAGATACTAGCGACATGATGGAAGACACCGTGTCGGAGGTAATCAACGATCAATTGTTTGACAATCCAATATTCTCAATGGCTTCCTGTAAATAAATCAAGAGAGAGAGAGAGAGAGAGAGAGAGAGAGAGAGAGAGAGAGAGAGAGAGAGAGAGAAACAGAACAGCTAGAGAGTGAAGTAAAGCATGAGAAACTGGATTGTGAGTTATATATTTATGTACGTACTGTTAAACAATGATACGAAACATGTGAGTGGTAAAGATGCGATGAAAGAAGGAAGGAAGGAAGGAAGGTCTTTTGACACTTGTATCCTGATGACATGCCACATTCAGACTTATCGATGAAGACTCGTAGACATTCTTTGAGACATATTAAGAGTTTACTGATCCGTGTATGTTCATTGTGTTACTTATAAGGAGAAATATCAGGTTTTATAATCATGAAGATGAATGATTCATGTATTTTACTTACAATGCACTGTGACGCCTCTCACCCTGTTGTTTTTAATTACCGGTTGAAAACTATGTTGATTTTTGTGTCTTCTCTTAAGTCAAACTTACGTAAATATCTTTATAATATACTTCGTTCTCGATTTTTTTCCAAGCTCCACATAACCGTTGTTTTTTTTTTCAATGATATATGTACACCTTATCAGTCTCTACCGTACGAATTATTACCTCTTGGCAAATACGAATGGATTTCTGTCCGTTGAGAGAATCCATTATGTGAATTTTTAGCCTGCTGAGAATCATTTAAAAGGCACGTAAACCCCTTTTACATTAGATAATACGATTTCGCAGATATTTCAATCATTAAATATAATTGATTAATCCCATGTCAAAACTTTCACCGATAACTTAGCAATTTCTCGACATTCGTTTATTCCATAAAACAATCATTCGAATCGATAAATCGTATATTACGTATGTAATTTCTGTCGGAACTTGAATTAACGAGCACAGGGATCATTCTCGTAGGCGTCGTTATATCCGTGACCCTTCCACGAGTTATCTCAGCGGGGCTAACGACATTTTAATGCCGTTAAACAAGCCTGTATCGGACTAGGTACCTGCGGAATAAATAAACATGTAGTATCACGTCGAGTCCCGCCAAGGAATTCCTTTTCCAGCGTGACTAATTCGATCTCAGAGAACCCTTCTATTAATACTGAACGCGTATTGTCGTATGCACCACTTCTCTCTATTTTTCTCACTCTCTGTCTCTGTCTCTCTTTCTCTCTCTACTTCAGCAGTCTTCTCTTATTTGTACCCGTTGTCCACGAGACGAATGTGTTAGCGTAAAAGAAGGCGAATTATATTGTGTTCCCCATTGCGCACTCCCACGGGCACACCGGCTCTGGCTACAGCTAGTAGCTATAGTAATACTCCGCTTAGCAACCGAAGAGACGAAGCCGTGCGATCTGGGAACATGACTTGCCACGAAGTGGTCAAACATGTCCCATTCGTATAAGTTGGTTCTTACGCATCGCGATCGTTCTATTTATATCGTACATAGAGTATATAAAAGTATAGGGCGTAATGGATTCCTTGGTATTTCACTTTAGTAGCTTTAGGAACAACGGTTTAGAGGTTATGTGTAATGGAATATGTAGTGTTAACGTCATCCTTTAATAACGTATTGGCTTCTAGTTGCATTGAATCCCGATGATTAATATCACAATGTGAATTATCTATTGAACGCGTGGGTATTGAGTTGTCGATTGCAGTGATCTGTATTTCCGACTGCTTTCAACTCAGTTCAAATGTAATATGCGTCAATACGACGGTTTGCTGGGTTAGAGGGTGAAGTGTGGGGTGAGGGTTCATGCGTCAGAACGTTTCTGTGTCGATAATATGGATGTTGGGTCTGGAGTCGGTAGGTAATAGGGTAAAGAAAGTAATTGGAAAAGTAGGGAATGAGAAAATTGGACAAATAAAGGAATATTGGACAAGTTTAGTTTTCGGGAGTTTAAAAAATTGACGTTTTTACTTAGCACTTTTTTTTTCATTTTTATGTGTGTATTTACAATCGATAAATGTCACGTATTTTCTTAATATCTCGGTGGTGTTAATTTAATAAATGAAAGTCAAATAATAAATTGTTTAAATCGCTTTGTTGTGACGTGAACTTATCTCTGGATAGATACCAATATTTTTTTTTACTTTCAATTATCTAATCTAAACCTGCGTCTTGCTTCCACCTCTTCTCGCCGACTTTCTCGTACTTTCGTCGTATCCTCTTCTCAGGCAAGAAAACAAGGAGAAGATTTTTGGTGAAATTTTACAAGACCCTTCACAAAGGATCTCTGGTAGCTTCATGGCTAGGGTTTATTTTATACTGCTACCGTCTTGAGGGTAAAATTCTCGCACATGCCAAAAGGTAACCGATGGGAGCCGAAGGGAAAGTCCAGAAACAATGAGACAGCAAATAATGCCGTAAAATTGGGTCCCCGTGGGACAAAGACCACTCGGGAGGTTGTCCACCCTTGAAAAACCACGAGATTTAAGATTTTACTACCATTGCCAACTCAAACTTTTCTCTCTTTGGGCAGTGGGTCAGTGGTGTCACGTTATGTCGTAGTCCTGGAATTACCTTAAAAGTCAATAAATTTCTCTTTACAAGTCCGTCCGTACTTCCCTAACACCATAGCTACTCGTACCATAACCTATATTACACGAGACCAGGTAAAAGTCTCTAGAAAATTGATTTCTGTCTCTCTGGTGTTTTTTTTTCCTTTCTATTCCCATGTTTCAGGATACACTGATGGACTGTGGAGGTGGTGTTGGAGACGACAGTGGTGGAGGTGGTCTCGAGGATCTAGTCAACCTGGCAACGAACATTGCCGATTCGGCACCCACCATACGAGGTAAGACATCAAATTACCCGACGGACAAGATCGTAAAACATAATGAACGAAGCAAATAGACCTGCAGCGATATCGTTATATGCACACGATGATGTATTAAATTTACGCGCTCGTGTACGTAATTAATTATTATTTCGTATACCGTAATGTGGTTATGAGGCTGCACGATATTCATGAGCACAGTCACGCGGACGCGTTTATTACTTCCTTATTAACCAGCTCGGTATTATTAATCGATATGATTGTCAGTGAACCTCGAATTTCTTCAACTGACATTCCTTTTTATCACGAGAAATCCCACAGCGACACAAAGTGAATGCTGAAAACTAGTTCGTAAAACAAAAATATTTTCACGCTTTTGGTCGGAGCTCTATTCGTGAGGTAAATCCCATCGATTATATGTACCAACGTACTCGATATCACAATAACAATATCGTATCCATTTTGAACGTGGCTTTCAAAGGGGAAAACGGAATGGCGATAGCTGCTCATGTTTCCCCAATATCCTGGAAACCCGAAGCACAGTGGAGGAACGTCGCTGCGTAGCATTCCCATAAGATTCCCAGGACTCCTATCCCTCCTTTATACATAAATCGGTGAATTTCTCATAGAACTCTCCCCTACCGATATATTAGCAATGCCCCATCATCTCCATGAAAGGGCCGTACAATGTCTTCGGTCGGTAGTGCGAATATTTATAAAGTTGAAATAACTATGAATACCTGCCTGAAAGGACGTATCGAGTGAAAATCGGTCAGTGGGAAAGGTCAGTGTTATGAAAAATCGACCGTGGGATCAGTCGTACTTACCGATGACGTCACTTAGAGACCACCCAGTGATATTCTGCATCAGTGTCCTGTTAAGGCACTTACATGCCATGTAACTACCTAGACGCAATTCTTCGTTATTCTCGGCTAATAATTATAATTAAATACAGACGACATGCTGATTTTTCGTATCGTCCTTTATTTACCGCGGCAGGAAACCGTAAACCGGATCATGAATAATCTTGAATAGGACAATGATTCCTCCAGAGTAGGACGAATAGATGAAGGAAGCATGATGATTTGCGAGAATGATCGTTAAAAGTCCTGGGCTCTTGGGGAGGGTTCGTTTTAAATTAGATGACCTCCTTCTGAATGATGAATTTTATATGCTAATGGCGAGGGCTGCTATCCATCGGGAGAAATTACCGCATTGCTAAGGGTATATAGACAGAGAGAGGGGTTAGGGTTTATAGGGGTTACTTGAATCAGATTACCGGTAAGTCCCGTCGAAGTCGTTCGGGTACTCCCGTTTAATACTGTATCAAACTCGAAGGATCAAGTTACGTTCCTTGATTTGGTAAAGTCGAGTCCTACCATGGTAACCTGCTCGCCCCTATTATCAATCCTTCATTGCTTTTGACGTTTCCAAACCCATCTCTACGTCTTTGCACCGCGTGTGTTTTTGTTTCTATTACCTTCCATGAATTCTACCCTCGTTCGAGAAATATGACATTTCCATAATGCCGAAAGTAACGTTACGAGCTCTCAGTGGTTTATTTTTCTTTTTACGTTATAAAGCTCTTTCCATCTCGTTTTTTTGTTACCAGGCCCGGTTAACGTATACGGAATAGTTAGATACCGTCATCCCTTTATATACACGTACCCTTATTTCTTTTGCTCACGGCTGCCTGAACGAGGGGAAATCGAATCGAGCCATTCTCATTTTTTATCCGTGCTTTTACCTCGCACGTTATGTGTTTCGTCGCAGAGATATACGTTCTAGAATATTTTTTTTTTTTTTTTAACCCTGCATGACATAGGGACCATCGAGTTTCGTTTACTCACCCCATGGGCACTCGATCTCCTGCTCTCGGTCCCTTTAAATCCAGGACATTTAAATTTCGATATATCCCTGTGGGAACGTCCAGCGAGATTCGCATTGGCGTAAGCAGGGAGAAAGAGGAATTGTCCACGAGGACCTTTCTCAGCTTCGTTTCCACCCCCCACGGCCAGGAACGGGCAGAACCCCATTCCTGTTCCCAGGAACAGGTAATGTCGAAAAGCAACCCTCCAGAAGCTTTGGTTGCCCTTGAAGGGTGTCTCGACGAGACTCTATACGCAGGGATCATAACCGTAGGTAGTACACTACCCCTCTCTCTTTCGCCTTCTCTCACCATGATACAGTTACTTCGCAAGCGGGAACGAATGTGAAATTATTAAGGATAGAAGGTGGGTAGGGGACGACAGGTAGTTCCCACGAGACGTTTCTGGAGCGAGATTCCCACAGGATCATCCGTGAGCGGGCAGGATCTCTATCCCAAGATCGAGCCCAGACAAAATGGTAAGGTCAGCAGTGCGAATCACGTCACGGGTCTTTTGTGTGTTCTCTAGATGCTGCAGAGAGGCTGTTAACTCTCCTGGGAGTCGACGAGGACGAGGAAGGATCATCATCCGAGGACGAAGGCGTCGAGGTCGACCTGGAGGACAGCGAGGACGAGGACGAGCCTGGGAACGCGAGACTACTTCACGAATTGGCCGCCTCCCTCGCCCAGGAATTGAAATATGCCAAACAGAGTGCGTCGTCTTCTAGGATAATTCAAGCGACGCGTCAGGATCATCAGCATCAGGATGTACGCGAGCCGGTCCAGCGTATGGACGTCGCGCAGGACCACGTCGGGATCGATCAAAATCATGGGGAAAATGGGACGAACTTTAGCAATACGAAAGAAGCGAGCTACTCTGGAAACTGTTTTCCGCAAAGCTGCGAATTCCCATCCCGGCCGTCCAACTGTCGCGGGACAAAGCGCTTCGAACCGAGAGAAGACGGATCCTTTGGATTTCAGATGACGTCCTTTGCCTCCACTTGTCTCGATCCTCGTCTCAGGATGGATCATACGGATATACTTAACGCTGCGATGGAACCCGTACCCAGTTCCTGGGGTGCTGGATGGGACGCCTGTGCCTCGGAGGCACTTAGATATCTCGTTGAGGACGAGGGACTTCCGCCTCATCATCCCACGGTGATCGCCATGAAGAATCATCTGGATTTACAGAGAGAACGCGTATTCGCACAGTATAAGGCGTAAGGAGCGCGCATGCGCTCTTACATTGTCTCTCTCTCTCTCTCTCTCTCTCTCTCTCTTTCATTACGGAAGGATGCTTCTGTTGATGTCAATGTCAATATCTATGCCACTGGAAAGCACGTAAATACTGCTGGATCGATTATTCAATCAGTTACCTACATGTCTGTCGCGTTGACAATGTAGAGAATTGAAATTGGCAATTTATAGTCGAGACACAGACCGACGTGAGGTCGATTCTCACGAGATATTGGGGAGCTACGAGCAACGAGAAAAATATTCAATTGACAATTGCGACGTAGACCTGTGACATGGGTTTGATCAATTTTGTTGTATTAGAAGAAGAAAAAAGCAATTCGTATCAAGCCGATAACCACGATATCATTTCGCGGCCTCGCAGTGTCTGTGCATAGAGCAAATTTGTAGATTATACCTTTTAACGTGTAAGACAGCCAAGTGTGTCAGTACGCGAACCGTAGGAGTGCGTTGGTAGATCAGCCGGTGGGAGAGAATTGAGAAAATGAATGAAGAAAAAAACAAAATGTAAAAATAGCAAAAGCACGTGCAAATGAAAATTAGCGCAAATTTTCAATGTCCTGCAGACTACTAGTATCCAGCGATACTTTCCTTAAGTATATGTCAATCATCGATCGATACGATTCTGATCGAATATCGTGGACGTTATTGTACAGGCGATTAGAGTGACGCGTGAACGATCCTTTTGAATTTTTTTATTTTACTCCTCGTTCGAGCGCCATTCTATAATTATTTAATTAATAATTAGTAGCGCCAAGATGGATAACGTTTCCTGTCGAGATAGACTACTAGGCTAAGATTGACGATCGCGACGCGTGTAAGTCACATGATGATTTACAATAGTCCTTGTCAATTGACAAGGGACTCGCGCCCTTTTGCGAACGCGATCTAGACTGGCCGATAGATTATACTATAAATATTCCACATCGCGTTCCTCCCGCTCGTCGCAGGAACACGACGTGGAAATCCCATCGACGAAGGTGTCCTTTATCATTATCTGTAAATATGTATGATATCGTTTTAACTTATAAACCTATTGTTACTTTTACAATAAATCATTGTAGATAACATCGACCAGTAATAAACGACCTAAATTAATGCACACGAGGACTAACGCTGGATCTTCTATAACCTACAAGTTCCTTCTGGGGTCCGTTATTCCAGACTCCGGCACGCGACCGGATCCCTAAAACCTCAAAGGATCAGGATCCGGAGTCCTTTTATCGAGAGTTCTACGCCATTGGGGCATCTGGTGTCGGTTGTTAGCACATGCCATGCATCTGCTCGGACTTGAAGTACTTTTGTTGTCTTCTATTTCGTCGCTCCGTCTCATGAAAATAAGCCACGTCGATAAGGCGCGACATACGAATTTCTTATAGGTCGTTTGCAAAATTTCAAAGATTCACATTGGCGGCCTGCTTAGATAATAAATTCCTATTCGATATTAACGTGTAAGCAATTGGATGCGTTATCGCTTACGAAATAAAGGTAGCCCCACGTGTAAAGCCGGTATTTCTTTTACGAATGAAAACTTTAAGGTGTGCCCACAACCGACGCCATTGTCGCATCTGCTCGTCAGCTGCCTGTATCCTTCTTTCCGCCACTGCAATCTGGCGCGTGGCACCTTATTTCTGCCCCACGCACTCTTCCCGAATTTCAACCTCGCCCACTTAGAACGTTAAAGGGACCGATATCGGCGGGGAAATAGCTTTTCAATGGAAGCTCAATTTTCTATGGGTAAATAATAGTACAATTACGTCAGAGGGTTGTTACGAATATATATATATATAGCGATAAGCTTTTTTACAGAATGGGAATATGTGAAATGTAAAAATACATAATATACACAGTGATAGTGCATAAATTGACTGTACACAGGGAAATTGGATGTTTCCTTATATACCTATATATTTATATATAGATGTATTATTATAGCATATACCAAAGATAAAGGAAAGCGGATGAAACTTTCAAAATGTGAATTTCCTGCGAGATGGAGCGAAGTAATATATATTCTCGTTTATGATACGAAAACTTATATAAAAGAGGCGGCGGTTGTTCGGTTTAATCTAAATAGAAAATCTAATCGTACTGGTTCATCCTTAAGACTCAAGGAACCCGTATACGTACCGATCCTATATCCCGGGCTGCAGGATTCGAGATTTCAGATAGGCATGTTTTTACTTCACTTTTCTTTGTTCACTTTCTGACCCTCCTTAAAACCGGAGGCCTTTTTTTCGCGAGACATCATTTCGGTTTTTTGGCTAGTTCGAGTGAGGGGTACTGGGACGCCAAGGAGGTGGCAAAAGGTGGTAAAGGTGGAAGCAGGCGGAGGTACCAAAGGTACGAACAGCTGTCCTGGTATAACCGTCAGGTGGTATCCCGTGTAGACGTCAGCTGTGGGGGTGAAACTCTTTTCTGAAAGGGTTCAGAGAATTTCAAATAAATTCTCATAGTCCATTCGATCGGGATGAAATCGAAATTTCACAAAGATATATATATATATATATATATATATATATATATATATATATATATATTTGTG